TATTTTAAGAGCCTCACCCATTAATAAAGACTCAAGCAGAAAGTATTGACTGTTTCATACCTACTTCACTGGTTTAGCAGATATTGTAGAGGGGCATTCCGAAGGGTGTATCCCTGGTCCCGTCTGTTTCTTTCAATGCAGTTAAATTAGAGACTTGCTGGAATATGATGACTTTCAGGCCAGCATGCTGGGAAACCTTTCCTCCCCTTACTCTCTAGTCTCTGCTAGTTTCTTGAATGCTAATAGTGCAGTGTACTGAATTTCTTGAGTGGTTTTATTAAAACAATGAAAGGAGATATCTAAGAATGGTCAAAAGTCATGGGATCCATCTCTGTGGATTCCACTTTTGCCGGGTATCATCTAAAAGGACTTGGGTTCTTTAGCACAGGTGTGAAGTTTTCTGCCAGGAGAGTCCCAAGTCCCAACCTGGTGTTTAGTACGTAAGTATCTTACACATGAAGAGGAGGCATATGAGTGTGACTATCTGACACCATCATCTTCAACAAACGTCTTCTTCCTGCCTAATGTCTGCACAACAGTGACCCAACAAATTATTCAGTGGGTCTCCTTCATGTCAAGGAAATGACATATTAGACCGTGAGCTAGTGTCTTCACCAAGTTTATTACTTTTTCAGGACTTACACTAGCCACGTGCACATTAAAGGTTTACTCCACACTGAACTTGGAGTGTGCTTACCATCTTACATACAGTACCTAGTTAATTGTCTCAGCCTACCCTGGCTACGGAGGCATTACTGTTTTTCACAATTTTGCAGTTGAGCCAGGAAGGAAGGAAGCTTGGAGCAGCTGAGTGCCTTACTTCATGTCACATGCCCAGTGAGCGGCAGAACCACTGTGCTCACCTGTTCTCACAAAGACAGGGACACACTTTCTCTAAGGATGAAGGACGTTGGGGTCTTTTAAAATTGCTTCCCTCGTGGCTCAGCTGGTAAAGAATCCACCTGCAATGCAGGGGACCTGGGTTTGATCCCTGGGTTGGGAAGATCCACTGGAGAAGGGAAAGGCTACCCACTCCAGTATTCTGGACTGGAGAATTCCATGGACTGTATACATGGACATGTATAGTCCATGGGGTTGCAAAGAGTCAGACATGACTGAGGGACTTTCACTTTCTAAAATTTTAGTGGCAGTTGAAATAATGGTGGCTCAGACCGTAAAGCATCTGCTTACAATGCAGGAGACCTGGGTTGGATCCCTGGGTTGGGAAGATCCTCTGGAGAAGGAAATGGCGACCCACTCCAGTACTCTTGCCTGGAAATTCCCATGGATGGAGGAGCCCGGTAGGCTACAGTCCATGGGGTCACAAAAAGTTGGACACAACTGAGCGACTTCACTTCACTTCACTAGCTGTGAAAATTTGGTCAAGGGCTGGGGGTATGTGATATACTGGGCTATGTGATCTTATTTAACTTGCTATAGGCACCATGGGGAGTAAATTGACTATAGGTAGACAGAATTAAGAGTGATAAATCACAAATAAGTCCTTGGGAAAGAATGAAGCACCATTTAATTGACTTTACTTATATTCTTAGGACCTTCTGCTTGCTAGGTGTCCAATAAATGTATGTTGACAAAGTGATTAAAAGAGGATTTTGAAGTGACCAGTGGAAGAACTTCCTCCAAAAGACAGTATATACCTAGCATTAGACTACCCAAGAAACCATGGAAGTTTTACCTTTATTGGTCAGAAGCTGAGCTGCAGAAACTTCTGGGCTGCCTAGTGGCTCCCAGGAATTATTCTTACCAATATGGAACCTGAGGACCATCAGTACAGGTAACAGAGGTCCGAGAATGTCTGACTCTAGGGCTTCTCAGCATCGTGTGCCCGTCCCCGTCCCACCTCCTCACCCTGAGAAGAGGTGACCACCCTACTAACCCCCTTCCTGTTCCACCCGCTCAGCCCCAGCCTGACTCTCTCAAGGGCCAAACACAGTGAACTTTCCATAACAGGATCCAACTGTGAATCTGCTATCGTTTACAGCCGCTTCTGAGGGAACCCCTTCCCTTCCTCTTCATCTGGAGTGGATCTGATGTCATAAAACTGACCGTGACTGTCTGTTAATTGAAAACCCGAGAGAAGAGAGTAGAAGGGCGGTGGACCAATACTGTCAGAGCCCACTCCCCCTTAGAGCCGAGGCAGCCTTCCTGGGTGGTAAGGGCGGGTACTCTTCAAGGACACCCCAGCGTTCCTGAAATGCAGCCCAGAGGGAAAACAACTTAGCAGGAAAACTGCTGAGTCCCATCCGGCCCCACAGTGATGGGAGATCTGCCTTGCCTGGCCTCTCTCTCCTAGATTCCACTGCGGGGCCAGTGTGGACCTCTTTGGTCCCATACACCAGCGGTGGTTTTCACCTTCACACCAAGTGCTTCAGCACCTGTCTCCATAGTAACTGAGCAGTGTCCAAAATAGTAACCTGTGGTTTGGGAGTCTTAAAACACCTAGAGTGATGCTGAATTAGAATCCTGCCCATCAAATCCAAAGCTGACTAATTTAGAAACAAAAGGAAAAAAGAAAAAGAAAAGCTATACATACATATGTATTTTTTCCAATATGCCATCAGCCATATCTTTTGAACTGGCAAAGGGGCTGCTTATCCTGAGCCTGCAGCAGAGGGCAGACTTTCCTACATTATAAATACAACGTTAAAGTCCCGAGACACAGGAACATCCAGACACAGGACTGTCTGATAAAACAGTGGGCTTGCCAGGTGACTATAACAGTGCTTTAGGGAGAAAAACAAACTCAAAAAACTTCCTGTGATATTAATGCACTCATCAGCTTTTCCAGAGAGATGTGCTGATGAGGCTATGTGATCTTATTTAACTTGCTATAGGCACCATGGGGAGTAAATTGACTATAGGTAGACAGAATTAAGAGTGATAAATCACAAATAAGTCCTTGGGAAAGAATGAAGCACCATTTAATTGACTTTACTTATATTCTTAGGACCTTCTGCTTGCTAGGTGTCCAATAAATGTATGTTGACAAAGTGATTAAAAGAGGATTTTGAAGTGACCAGTGGAAGAACTTCCTCCAAAAGACAGTATATACCTAGCATTAGACTACCCAAGAAACCATGGAAGTTTTACCTTTATTGGTCAGAAGCTGAGCTGCAGAAACTTCTGGGCTGCCTAGTGGCTCCCAGGAATTATTCTTACCAATATGGAACCTGAGGACCATCAGTACAGGTAACAGAGGTCCGAGAATGTCTGACTCTAGGGCTTCTCAGCATCGTGTGCCCGTCCCCGTCCCACCTCCTCACCCTGAGAAGAGGTGACCACCCTACTAACCCCCTTCCTGTTCCACCCGCTCAGCCCCAGCCTGACTCTCTCAAGGGCCAAACACAGTGAACTTTCCATAACAGGATCCAACTGTGAATCTGCTATCGTTTACAGCCGCTTCTGAGGGAACCCCTTCCCTTCCTCTTCATCTGGAGTGGATCTGATGTCATAAAACTGACCGTGACTGTCTGTTAATTGAAAACCCGAGAGAAGAGAGTAGAAGGGCGGTGGACCAATACTGTCAGAGCCCACTCCCCCTTAGAGCCGAGGCAGCCTTCCTGGGTGGTAAGGGCGGGTACTCTTCAAGGACACCCCAGCGTTCCTGAAATGCAGCCCAGAGGGAAAACAACTTAGCAGGAAAACTGCTGAGTCCCATCCGGCCCCACAGTGATGGGAGATCTGCCTTGCCTGGCCTCTCTCTCCTAGATTCCACTGCGGGGCCAGTGTGGACCTCTTTGGTCCCATACACCAGCGGTGGTTTTCACCTTCACACCAAGTGCTTCAGCACCTGTCTCCATAGTAACTGAGCAGTGTCCAAAATAGTAACCTGTGGTTTGGGAGTCTTAAAACACCTAGAGTGATGCTGAATTAGAATCCTGCCCATCAAATCCAAAGCTGACTAATTTAGAAACAAAAGGAAAAAAGAAAAAGAAAAGCTATACATACATATGTATTTTTTCCAATATGCCATCAGCCATATCTTTTGAACTGGCAAAGGGGCTGCTTATCCTGAGCCTGCAGCAGAGGGCAGACTTTCCTACATTATAAATACAGCATTAAAGTCCCGAGACACAGGAACATCCAGACACAGGACTGTCTGATAAAACAGTGGGCTTGCCAGGTGACTGTAACAGTGCTTTAGGGAGAAAAACAAACTCAAAAAACTTCCTGTGATATTAATGCACTCATCAGCTTTTCCAGAGAGATGTGCTGATGGCCATTAAATCTGGCAGAGATTCCCAGTCTCCATGCTCTTTGGGTTAAGTAGCCCTGCTTATCTCAGCACTGCTGTGGCCAGTGTGATAGCAAGTGGAAGGTTCCATGTGTTTGAGAAATGTTACCAGGATGCTGAGGCCAAATATGGAGATCAGAATACATACTATGTAAGATTCCCTATCCTGTATCATGAAGGTGTGCGCTATAAAAGCTTTAGATTAGATGAGAAAGGCTCCATGCCACACATAGAATGTCCAAAGATGGGAAACACTTTGCTTCGCACCTGGCATGTTTAGAGGTAAGGAGTCTACCAGGTAAATTCATATGAAACAAAGAATTGGCTTGTATACTTACTCCCCCTCTATCTGCTCCGCGGTGTCCAACTCTGCAAGCCCATGGACTGTAGCCCGCCAGGCTTCTCTGCCCATGGAATTTTCCAGGCAAGAATACTGGAGTGGGTTGGCATTTTCTTCTCTGGGGATATTCCTGACTCAGGGATTGAACCCGCATCTCTTGCGTCTCCTGCATTGGCAGCCAGATTCTTTACCACTGCGCCACCTGGGAAGCTCACAGGTTTGCTAGTGACTCAGTTCAGCTTTCCTGATCTTGAAAACCCAGGAGTGTCCCTCTGCTTCTCCCTCCACTCACAGTCCTCAGGCATGAACTGGGAATTCAGATGATGAAGGTTGCCCTGGCCGGTGGTCTCACAGAAATATTTTCTTCATTTGTCATATGCTTTCTTTCTCTTCCTCTTCCGCCAGTACGAAGAAGGAAAAAAGCGGAGGAAACCCAACTACAGTAGTGTTGACCTGTCTGAGGTGGAGTGGGAGGACCGTGATGATGTGGTAAGCAATTTGATTTCAAGCCTGGTGAGAAGGACGCTGCGTTTTACCCTCCTCTGCCTGGGAGCCGGTCAAGAGAGGCCCACCAGAGGAACACCTGGCCATCAGGGGGATGCAGAGACCATGGGCCCTTGTATGCATTTGGGGTTTTATAACTCTCCTGCTGGTAGGTCCACGTGCGAATGGGTTTCCAGCCACCCTGTCTGCCTTGTGTAGTCTAAAATCATCCGCATTTGGCCTCTGGTTCCTTCTGTAGCCGATCAATCTGGACTCTTTCTGAGTGCCATTGATGGGACCTGCGACCCTCGGGGGAGCCTGGCCAGAGCCTCGTGGGGCAGCTGCACAGCCAGGGCCAGAGTTTACCTGTCAGGATGCCGGCCAGGGCTTGGCAGACCCACTTTCCTCCTCTTTGGTTGACTGCCCTGTTTCCGGGGCCATCCCAGCCTTTCCCCTTTCCAGGCCACACTTTAATAACACATGCTTGTTCCCCAGACAGCTTCAGCCTTCAGGACTGTATCAAAAGTTTTCCTCATGCCCACGATTTAGCTTCAGCAGTCTTCTTGTTCCTTCCTCAGTAAATCAGATTTGTTAGACACGCCATCTTTTGTGAATCCAGGCAGACTGTCCTTAGTTAAATCCTAACTTCCTGGGTGTCTGGATCTGGACCCTTGCTCTTCCCTCTCTATATGGAGCCTTCATGCCCAGGCAGTGTTTCTCTACTTGTCCCTCCCTGATTTGTCTGACGTCCTTTCCTGAGCTTCATCACTGCATCAGCCTTGTTTCCACCCCTCCCTCTGTCTTGCTTTCCAAAGGGATGTTGAGGGGAGCCATTTGAAATGTACAGGCTGGGTTCCTGTGCTTTCAGAAATACAGCCAGCATCACGGTCCCCTTGCTGCTTGCTTTTCCTCTCTTCACATCCTCTGCAACCTGGACGTTACTTAGCTAGCATAAATCTCTGAGATATTTCCTTGCTTGTAAAATGCAAGAATCATATCTGTTTTAGACATTTATCCTATTTCCTTCTTCATCTGGGCTGTCTCTTTTAAGCCCCAATTCAGACAAAATCTTTGCTGTTTGATTTAAAAAAAAAAAAAGTCTATTTCCTCATCCATTCTCTTTTCCCAAGTGCTGGTGACCTGACGTCATGTCAGCTCAATGACCTGGTATAGTTTTGTATCTTCTTGTTCTTTAAACATCATCATCAGGATTCATGTCTGGGTCTTTTGATTGTACCACACCTGATGTATGTATCCTACCTTTTCAACCTGCTCCTACCAAGAAGCAGGCTAGCACAGTCCTGAGGAATGCAGTTCAGGCATTTGCCTGCCTGGTTTCAAGCCCCACCTCTGCTATTTGCTGGCTGTTGGTCTCAGTCAAGCCATTATCTTCTCTACATCTCAATTTTGATATAGGTTCTTTTTTCTCAGTCAAATGAGTATGATGGCTGTAGGACCTCACAGAACTATTGTGAATGCCAGTGTGTTACTCAGAGGGGGCAATGGCACCCCACTCCAGTGCTCTTGCCTGAAAATCCCATGGACGGAGGAGCCTGGTAGACTGCAGTCCATGGGGTCGCTAGGAGTCGGACATGATTGAGCAACTTCACTGTCACTTTTCACTTTCATGCATTGGAGAAGGAAATGGCAACTCACTCCGGTATTCTTGCCTGGAGAATCCCAGGGACGGAGGAGCCTGGTGGGCTGCCGTCTATGGGGTGGCACAGAGTCGGACACGACTGAATCGACTTAGCAGCAGCAGCAGCAGCGTGTTACGGTATTGAAAGATACAAAAGTGTCAACATTGTTGCTTGGGCATGGTGAGCATTCTGAGTGGTAGCTGTTATTAGTATTATTCTCAGTATTATCAACCCTCAAATTAATGTATTAATGTATGTCTGTTGCTAAGCTATATCATGTAATTTTAAAGGGTGCATTCCATTTTTTTGCCTTCTCTTCCCTCTCTATCAGTTGCTTTATTTTGACTCCACTGCATCTTTTTGTTTTCTTTCCAAGAAGTTTTGAACCCTGTCATCATCATGCTTCTCCATCCCTTTCTTCATTTTTTTACATTTTAATTGACACGGGAGGCAAACTTGATGCTCATTCTTACTTGGGAGTCCCCACGTCCAGGAAGCTGGCCTTCTGCTTGTTAAACACTAGGCAGACACCTGCATTTATCCTTTTTAGGTTTCCTGAAGAGATCTATTACTTGGCTCATCTATACCCCAGTTGTCGAGTCATCATCACCTTTGCCCAGGTTGATTTTCCGTGAGCTGATACCACCTTTAGCTAACGATGATTTGACAGATGCTTTCTGTTTCCTTGCCCTTTTCTTTCTTTGTCATCGGATTCCCATCCGTGTCCCTCACCTTGACATGATTGCCGGGACTGGATTCTGTGTCTGCCTTCAGAGTTCCCACACCTCTAGCAAGTCAGTGCTCTTATTCTTCACCAGTAGGTCTCTGGTTTTGCATGTTTAATTTGGGTCTCTTGTCTCCTTGAACAGAAGGTGCAGTTGAGACATGAATTCCTTCACTATCAATGTGCTTGATTGTGAAAACCCTAGTCACCATTTCTTTCCTAGGGATTTGCACATCCTTAATTAGAGAATTCTGGAATCTATGTAAAGCACTTTGTGAAGGCTACACAAGTGCCCCGGTGCCCATGTGTCTGCCAGTGGGGTTTGCATAAAGGTAGCAGAGGGCAGTTTAAGTCAAGATCTCGAAAACGCCAGACAGGCAGAGTCGAGGAAGAAGCAGCATGTGTCTGCCCAGCTGTGGAGAAATTCTTGGAAGGAGCATCCTGCTTCTCTTGGCAGCTAAGCTTGTGTTGAATTTCATGACCACATTTATAACATAGACCCTATGTACTTCCAAAAATGATGTGAGGTCATATCTGTGTCAAGCAGACTGGAGTTTGAATCCTAATATTTTAAGCTATTGAAAGGAGTCTGACATGAAAGAAAAGAGAGGGGGATAATAATGAAGATGCTGCTGGCTGGTGAGGATGACCATGGAGGACAGCTTACACCTATGAATGCTTAGAGTGTACAAGGCACTCTTCTACATAGTAGCTCATCAGATTCTCACTGCAACTTTATGAGACATGCTATTATTAGTTCCATTTCGCAGAAAGAGAAACTGAGGCACAGTGGGGGTCAGTGATCCATTCAAACTTCTGGCTCCAGAGTCCATTTCTGAATTACAGTGCTGTCCTGCCTCAGTGTTTAATACGTGTAATCTATTTCCATTATAACTGAAGGAAAGGGAAAGAAAGAAAGTGAAGCCGCTCAGTGTCTGACTCTTTGTGACTCCATGGAGGATAGCCCACCAGATTCCTCATCCTTGGAATTTTCCAGGCAAGGGATACTGAAGTGGGTTGCCATTTCCTTCTCCAGGGGATCTTCCCTACCCAGGGATCGAACCCTGGTCTCCTGCACTGCAGGCAGGGAAAGACTAGACTAATCATCTAAGCTTCTGCCTCCAGAAAGTATTAGTGACCCTGGCCTTGGACCCTCCCAGGTCCTGGCTCGGATCATCCTCTGCTACTGGGAGTTGGGGGTGGGGTGGCGCTGAGGCATGGAGAAGCTTACCTAATCTCTGACTCGCCTGGGGAATGTGAGAGGGGCAGGTCCCAAATGGCTTTAGGCAGGCACCAGAAAGAGGAAAAATGAAAACCATGTCGAAGATAAATCGAGCTGTTCTTAAGAGTTAGAAAGTAGACTTAATTAGGACCAGCTCTCCCCATCCAAAACCACAAAAGTTAAAATGGGAAAATATTTCCAGAAATGCCCATTATGTGTTGTTAAAAAATATCTAGAGTAAAATATATGTTTTATTTTATACATGCCTCCAGCTAAAAATTATGCTTTTACTCTCTTGCACAGAAGATGGGAATGTGAACCCAAATCTAGACAGGCCCCGCATCAAATTTAGGTTGCTTGAAAGCACTGCAGTTCTCTATCGGCCAGATCTTATTCAAGCTCCTCAAAGGAGAAAAGAGGGGAAAGAATTAAAAGAAAAAAACAAGCATGGGGCTGGGAAAAAGCCTCTCCTGACAGGCTGTGGCATGTCAGCATTTGCTCCTATTTCATTAAATGGCCTTCCAGTCGTCTCCTATTGGTGCCCATGATGGCACATCTTTCATCACTGTGTCTGCTGTCCTTCTCTGAACTCACAGAAGGGCCACAAGTAATTAGCAAAGATCAGCCAGGGGTGGGGGAAGGGACGAAGGCTCACAGTTCCCAGATGAGACCTTCAAAAATCAGATGCAGGGTTGCCCCGTTCACTGCCCATCAGCCTCAGTCAGGCTTTTCAGTGGCCCAGATTTCTCAGAGAGTATTTGAAGATGGTTCATGCTGTGAAAAGCTAATCCCTGTCTTCCAGATGGTTGGCTTTTGAAAACAACCAACCAAACAAAAAACTACTATATAGGAAAATATCTTTAACTTGATTGTGTTTTGAAAAATGATTTTCTCCATAACAAACCAATACCTTTTGTGAAAATGTAACTTGTGCCCTGAGATTCCTTGTTTCTTGAGTATTTTAGCATTTGCTGGGGGTTCGTTCCCTGACTCTCAGGATTTAACATTGTACAGGTTTTTTTGGTCACTGTCGCCCTGAGGTTTACATGAGCACCCCAAATTGAGGTTGATGGTCCTTTATTTATTTTTATTAGCCTCTCTCCCCCTAGACAAGAGCAGTTGACTGTTTATTCTTCCAAAGTCGCATTCCAGAGATCTGAGAATAGAATTTAGACTTACTGCACAAGTACACCAGGAGTGGATGGGGACATGGCATCCTGCTGCAGGACATGCAGCCCTGCATACACAAGCCCCCAAATATGCATTCAAGCTAGATGGCGAAAGGTGTTCACGACAGTATGGTAACCCTGGGAAGAACTAACCCCGATTTTCTTTTATCATTTTAGTTAAGAAATGCCATGGTGAATAGAAAGACCGGGAAGTTTTCCATGGAGGTGAAGAAGACAGTGGACAAAGGGGTACATTTTTCTCAAACATTCTTGCCGCTTAATTTAAAACAAACCACTGTGAAAAATTAGCTTTGAAAGCTCTATCTGGAGTAAATATCATTCACTGAGCTCATTTTTCTCTTGTCTTTACTTATCTCAAACAAGATTCATGTAGTACTGTTAACCTGATCATAGTGTGTCCATTTATTTTTATTTATTTCTGAAAACTTCACCTAGCAGACTAACCATGTTTTCTTTTCTCTACGACTTTTTTTTTTTTTTCAATCTAGAAACGGGTTTTGGTGATGACAAATGACTACTATTATACAGACATCAAGGGTACTCCTTTCAGGTAGAGCTGACCATAATACATGGACATTCCATCAGACCCATCAGTTGTGTTTGTACAAAACCTGCTGACACTCCCAGAGCTCATCATCTGAAGATAACCAAACATCCTGCCTAAAGGCTGGAAAGAGTGAGGAAGGGGCTTTTCCCAGGCTGCTTTTGTTTTTGTTTTCCGTAAGGGGAAAAATGGTTCAGGCTCACCTAGGAGAACTCATTCAATTTGCCATGGCTTTGCATCTCATTATCAAGCAGATAAGCTTTGGGGGTTCCAACTAAGGGTGGAGAGATAAATTCAGCAGGTTACCAGGGTCCTTAACCTTCTAACTTGCTGCCCTTTATTTCCATGATCAAAAAGAGATCCTTCACACTTCGAGGCAGCATATTCATCCCTACGTGTTGCGCTTCGGTTTTAATTTCTCCGTACTGTTGCTCTGTGCTTGTCTGCCTTTCAATCCTGTTATTTATCTTTCTAAAAATCTTGAAAATTGCACCTTCCCCCTTGCCTGCTTTCTTATGTGGCATTCTAAAGTTTCCCGATATTAACTTAGTATGATAATGCTTTTTGTAAGAAGTTGTTTTGGTAGGGCTGCTTTGTGTTCTTCAACTGATGCCTCACAGGGCTCAGGAAAAAAAGAGTTTACTGACTCTGGATCCATCGTAATAAAATCTGTGGTGTTGTTGTCATATATGGCCAGGGATCTTGGGTGAATTTCATTTGGTACCAGAGCACTTGAGGAAACACGTGACTGCTAAGTGGGCTTGCCAAACGATGAGACCATGTTATCAAAACATATTCTCTGACTTTAGGTAAAAAAGGAAGGAGCTTAAATCAAGACTTTTAAGAGTGTGAGAATGTGAAAAATCTATCAGACAAGGAAGAGGGTTGGGCAAAGAAACCCACCATACAGTCACGTGGTTGCATTCAAGTGACAACAGAAGTGTTCATTTTTGCCATTAGAAAGGGGTTAATTTTCCCTCATCTCAAACTCTATGGTCTGGAAAGACCCTCGTGTGGCTAAATGTAGGGCAGGGTATGCATAAAGCGGTAATGAAGATTATTAGGGCATGTAGCTCTTACAAAAGCATCTAAGAGAAGGGCTTGCTCAAGGGCTTGTAGCAGTTTGCCACACCTCTTTTAAACATACTCGAGAGCCACCCATTGTTGCTGCACTTCCAATCAGAAATTACACTGAAGCAGCTGATCAAATCTAAGATCAGCACCAACTCTAATCAGTGGAGTTTTGAAAGTAAACTTTTGAAAAAAAAAATTCTTACAGAGCATGAAATGGAAATGTGAAAATGGAAAATAAAAAGTTAGCTCACAAGTCTGTTCCAGTCAATGTTACGGATTTCAAGATCTGCTTTGTTTCTCTGCACAGTTTAGGTGTGGCGCTCTCCAGAGGCCATGGGAAATATTTCTTCCGAGGGAATGTAACTATTGAAGAAGGTAAGATGCTGTCTTGATCCATCTTACTCCTTTCATGTGGGAGGAAAGCCCTGAAGCCAGCCATTGGGTTAGCTGAAGAATTTGCTCAGCTATCCAGCCCTTTTTCTAATTCCTAGACATTTGACTCAACCATTTACCCCCCTGATTTTACCTTGCTCTCTTAGACTGTTTCAGATGCCTGGGACTCCCAGATAGTGGGGGCTTTCCTTATGGTTTCATTTATTTATGTTGTGCTTTTATCCACAAAGTTGTCGAGGCAACTCATAGGAATCATCCATCTACCAGCTGTATTCTTCTCATACATAAAAATCAGTACCAAGAAAAGTATGAATTAGTATAAAAACTCAAGCCCAGGAAAAGGAAAACAAAGGCAGGCAAGCCTTAGTCTTCTCCACATTGAGCTACAAATTTCACTTGTGTTTTGAGGCAGCCTAGGTCGAAGGGAAATGTGATCATTCAAATGATTTATCTAAGTCAGAAGGAATTAGGAGCATCTTGAGGTTCTTAGCTCTTCTTGTCTTCATAAAGCACCAGTGCTCTGGGAACTCCCAGTAAATCGTAGCAGTTGTTACAGCCCTTTAATCTTTAAAACTGCTATCACCTCCATACTGTCCTTTACATCTCCCAACAACCCAGTAGCTCAGAGAAGTTATCTTTACCAGTATCACCAGTCATAAGAAGCACTGGGGCTAGCCTATGAAAGGCATCACTCCCAGAGTGGCCCTGCCCAGGTGTTAAATTTTGTGTCTTAACAGAGAAGGAGTTAGACCAGACCAGTGTTCTTTTTGGGCATCCTCAGGGAGTGTGGGTATCCTGGGTATCCTCAGGGAGTGGGAAGGTCAGTTACAATCCAGCTTTTCATGGGTTAGAGCTGGTTACAAATGAGTGTAGTGAACTTCCAGAAGCTGGACTGCTTTGTGATTCATTCCAGTGATGTAGCAGAGAAGGAAGAAGGAGATTGGAAATCCCTGAAATGGCAGATTCCATATATGGCCTTCTGGTCTACTGCCCAGTGTCCTCACAATGTTTCACGGACGTTGGGTTTTATCTCCCAACTGATTGTGAGATCTTAAGGAATAGGAGGGAGAGTGAATGTGGGTCATTTTGATCCAGACAAAGCTCAGAGTGTCCCCACTGCAGAGGTAATCAAGTATGTGCTCCCTCTTCCTAGAGACAGGCAAGAAAAAAACAGGCAACTTTGTGGTTTGACCAAGATACTCAACAGGATGTATTCTCAGCGATCTTTTTTTAAAACTTCTTTAATTTTCTGGCTCCATGAGCCATGTGTGACTCTGTAGATGTCCTGCTCATGAAGACAGAAAATTCACATCTAAGCTATCTGAGGTCAAGGTGAGGAAATAAATCATGGTCAGAACAGTCCCTGGGGGCTCAGATGGTAAAGAATCTGCCTGAAATGCCAGAGACAAGGGTTCAATCCCTGGGTCAGGATATCCCCTGGAGAAGGGAGTGGCTACCCACTGCAATATTCTTGCCTGCAGAATTCCATGGACTGAGGAGCCTGGCAGGCTACAGTCCATGGAGTTGCCAAGAGCATATGACTGAGCGCATGTGCATGCATGCGTGCACACACACACACACACACACACACACACACATATATCTTGATACAGATATGTTGTACACAGTACTTGTTCAGTCAGTTAGAGCTAATGTTATTATTGTCAGCATTATCAATCAAGAGTAGATGTGATTTTGTCAGGAGTATCTAAATTAGAGGTGAGAGATTTAGAGAACAGCCATATTTCCTTGGTGGTCTAGGAGCTCAGAGAGGAATCAGTCAAAAAGATCTTCCCTTTAGGTTCTAGGCAGAGAGAGATTTGTAGATGAAGACTGATGAGAACAAAAACTAGAAATATATATAGAATTCCAGGAAGGCGGGATCCCGTTTCAGGGCCTCTGCACCCGTGATTCCTTCTGCCACGAGCACCTCAGTTACTCCCAGGGAGTAACTCTTGCAGGTCTTTGCTTAAAGTCACTGTCTCAGTGAAGCATCCCGTCCTCCAGCAGTAACACTGACACTCCCTCATCCCTCCCCATCCCTTGGTACCCTTTCTGCTTGCTTCATTCTCTCCCTTAACTTCATAGTCCTCACTAGTGATACGTTATGTATTTTAACTTTATTTTCTTATCTCTTTTCTGCCACTAGAAAGTAAATATCATGAGACAATCAGTGCTTTTTCTTTTGGTCTCTGTTATGTTTTCAAGGCTCTAGACCTAGAATAGTACCTGGCTCATAGTTGATGCTCCATAAATAAATGGAAGGAAGAATGGAAGGGAGGGAGGGAGGAGTAGAAGAAGCAAGAAAGGGAAGAAAGCATGTATTGATGCATGGATTGCCCTAGGGACTAATCACTATCCCATTCAACCCTCTCCTGTAGTCTGTGACCTTTGGCACTATTAGTGACGTTCCCAATCTCATTCCGCCAGTAGGTGTCGGAGCCAGGATATGGCCACTTGCATCATATAGCATGATATTCTATATAATTTATTCCCAACTAACTATGAAATCAAACAAGAGTGTGTGATGCCAGTTCTAGTATTTTGCTGTTTATTGTGCACATTTGTGTTTGAGGAGGGTACTGGACTCCTGAGTGCAGTAGGATATCATTGGTCATGAGGGAGACTGCCATTCTCAATCAGTGGGGTTTCTGAGGTGGTCACTTAGAAGTGTGTGTCTGCTGATGACCCATAAAAGTGAGTCACATAAAGAGGCAAGGAGAAAGAGTGGTTTTGTACACTTAGGGCATCTCAAGCATTCTATAAACCCTCTCCAATTCCCTGCAAGCCTCAGTGCTCCTAGCTACCTCTCCAGACTGACGACTCATTTCTGCTTAGGATCCTGTATCACCTAGCAGTTTTTGCTGGTTAAAACCAGTTGAGTTTTGGCGGTCTCATACCATTCAACCTAAAATTGCACCCTCACAACCACCTGTCCCTTAGGGATGATGATTATTACTGCTTTGCACAAAAAGAAACTGACATTTAGAAAAGTAAAGCAACCTGCTGACATCACACAGGAGTTTAGCAGCCCACTCAAGTTCCTGACTCAGGCTGAACTGTATGGGCCTCCAAAGTTGGTGTCTCCACTGTTGTGCTAAGCTTCTTTCCCAGGACTCACTGGTGCATCATTTATCTTCAAGGAGTTAAGTCTTTTCTGGGAGACTCTGTCTGGGGAAGTTGCAGTAGTGGCTGAATGAAGTGGAAGTTGGGGGCGGTTCTACCTGAGACAAAAGTGTTTCCTGTGTGAGGGTCCCTTTTCCCAGGCAGGTGTCTTTGGGATTGATGTCTACTCTTAACCCCCTCTCCCCGTGGCCATAACCCTAGAACATGTGAAGCGTAGAGGAGGCTGCGGGGAGTCAATGCCCCACACATATAATACATACTCATGATGCCCTTCTCCTTGACCTCCAGGCCTGCATGACTTAGAACACCCTGATGTGTCCTTGGCAGATGAATGGTAAGAATGAAACAGTCCTTCTCAGCATTGCTATTTATTGTCCTCTTTGATTTCAAGTTGCCTGTACTTCCTTGACCAGTTCTCCTGATTCAAAGGCAAAGGAAAGTGATGCCATAAATATGTACACATTCTTGTTTTGGGCCATGTCACATTCCTAGGTCCTACTGCAACACTGACCTACACCCAGAGCACCGTCATCTGTCTCAGCTAGAAGCTATTAAACTCTACCTCAAAGGCAAAGAACCTCTGCTCCAATGTGAGTGTGCTTTCAAATGCATATGTTTGTGCATGTGGCGGTTGGGTAGTGGAGGGAGGTGTGGATGAATTCAAAACTATACTTCTTCTCAGTTTTTAAAGGAAGCTTTGCTTTGACAAAGGTGATCAGTCACAAGAAATCCAGCCAAATGGCTGCCTCCTATAGGAACAGGAGAAAGAATGTGGATTGTCAAGAGTCGTGCAGATCCCCAATCCCAATTTAACCCTTCACATTGGATGTGTCCTATTACCAATCCATTTAGTCAAGCACCTAAGTAGTATGAAAATGTTACAGTTGGGAGGAGACTATCAACAGCTACTCTCTTATTTTGCAAATGAGACACAAGGACTGAAAATAAGACTTGTCTCATCCAAGGCCATGCTCTATGTCTCCTGGTTTCTGTCCAGAGTGGGATTGCCACTGTGACATGTTGCCTCTTGCAGTGTACATTCTGCTGCCCTTCCTCCTACCAAGTGCCCTCTAAGGGAGCTCGGTGAATCAGAAATGGCCAGTAGCTGGTGCACGGGGAGAAAGCGTGGGGTCAGGAGAGAGCAACAGCAGGCCTGGTGCTCACCAAGTGCAAGAGCAGTCCCCTGCACAAACACAGGTTTGTGTTGGTTAGTTCCGGTAGCTAAAGTCTGGGCACAAGGGATTCACCAGAAACGAGCATGGCACTCGTCCCTACCCCTAGCAGATACCACTTATTAGTGGTATGAAAAGTTCTTTGCATGTGTTATCTTACAGAAAAACCTAACAGCCCTATGAGAGGGGTGAGATTATCCACATCCAAACCTCATCTTCATGAAATGGATTTACTTTTTGGGATATGCTCTGGTAGAGAAAGGATCAGATGGACGTCATGTGAACTCAGTTTTTTGTTTTATTTGCCTTTTTGAGTGATATATTTAAGAAACAAAAGTGGAATACTAATATAAAGAAGCACTTACATTTACCATCCAGCTTTGTCAAATTTTAAACTTTTTGCCATATTTGCTGCAGGTACTTTTTAAGGAATGAAACATCAAAGATAATGTTGAAGACCCTGAGTGCCCCTGTGTGGGCCCATTTCCCTCTCAGAGAGAATTACCTCTTTGTATTTATTCATCATTCCTGTGCATTGTGTAATATATATATATACATACATATATGTATGTATATATACATATATATATATGTATGTATATATATATACACACACACCAAATATATACATATATACCTATGTATCCATATCCATTATATGCCATTATGTTCATTACTTTGTATACTGAAATTTATATATATTGTATAATATATATTATCCTACAACCTATGTTTCACTCATCATACATTATATTTTTGAGATTGGTGTTGATCATTTAGCTCTGATGCATTTGCTTGAATTACTGTGTGGTATTCTACTATGTAACTATGTCTCAATTTATTCACTGTCTATTTCATGATGAGCTGTTTCCAGGTTTTGCTTTTACAGCAAAGCTGTACCATCTTCTTGGTCATCAGCCATGGTGAGGACTGGCCTGCTATAGGTGATAAAGCTGGAGGGCTTTATGATACCCCTGCTAGACTCATGATATCCTCCTGATTTCTCATCCTCTTCCACAGAGCTCTATCAAGAATTCATCTGGATAAGGATGGATGTCCCACTTTAAGATGAAAATAATAAATAAATAAATAAAAGCTTAGATGGAAGAAGTCACAAAATAAAGAGTCCCAGAAATGATTAGCTATCATATCCCTCTCCCTTACAATAAAGATCAGGGCCCTGAAGCATTTCAAATTTTGATAGAGGGCAGAAATGGGATGAAAAGAGCAAACTTTCTGAGGAGTGCTGCCTTCCAATCTCCAAATCTCCAAATCCCGGAGTTGGCTTGCTGGTCTATGGCATCAACTACTCGATGGGGAGGGAAAGCGGAAACTTGAAGTGTGAGACACCCAGAACTCTCAACTTAACTATCGTCTTGTCCCGATGCTTTGGAGTCCCTTGTCTTATGGTGTATCAGGTGTCAGAGCTGTTTCATATTTTCACCTGGGGGGCAGTTAACACAGCAACACACCGTAGGAGGTAGTAGCCTGCAGACACTGCAAAATGAGCCTGGTGAGCACCTCTCATGCTGTAGTTTGGGGTCCAGCCAAAGACATCTTTTCAAGTCTGATCTTCCCAACAGGTGATAAAGAATTGATACAGGAAGTCCTTTTTGATGCTGTGGTGAGTGCTCCCATTGAAGCCTATTGGACCAGCCTTGCCCTCAACAAATCTGAGTAAGTGGTTGCACGTGTCCCCTTTTCATGGCCATTTCCCCACAAGCCGTCCGAAATATGGTTATGGTTTAAAGAACTAAAGCTGCTTTAGGAGGCTGGTGTTAAAGTTCTTTAATTTTCCCCAAAGCTCCAAACCACAAGAGCTAGAGCAGATTAGCGGCTCTGACTTGGATGGCAAGCTCCTGAGTTTGACATATAATTTGTTTGAATTTTAACATTACATGAAATTTGGTCTGCTGAGGTAGGGTGACACTTCCGAGAGAGAGGGAGGCGGAAGGAGCATTTTGCTTCCTGCCCTGCCATGGCTCCCTCTCCTTCACAGTCTGGAGGGAACTTGGGATCTGGGCCAGGCTAGGTTGTGAGGAGGACAGGAAAGTGAGAGCTCTATTCCATTAGGGTGTCAGATATAACTCTGCGGTTTTATTTCTGAAGTGGAGGATATAGGGGGAGGAGGGCAACCCATGTAAGTTGTTGTCAAAGACTAGGGTGAGAAGTGCTTCAGTAGCTTATTATTATTATTACCATTATTTTACTACTTTAAGTAGGCTGTTAATGATTAAAAATTTTTTTAAAATTTCCTTTTGTTCTTTGCCTTCATGTTGTATATTATTCAGTTCTTTCTCCTTTTTTATTCTTTATTCATTCCTCTCCTTCTTTTATCTTCCCTTTTGTTTATTCTCCTCTATTAGGTCTGTCATTCACTCTGCTCTCATTTTCATTCATTCATTCATCAAATATCGATTGCATGTCTATTATGTGACGAGCACTGGGCCAGGTATTGGTGAAATGGAAATAACTCAACCAAACATAGTCCTTATCATCGTGGTGCCTATGATATATAGTGTGATTGAGAATTGTGATAATTATGAAGGAAAAATTAGACATGTAGACTGTAATAAGACCTAGAGTGGAGATAGAAGAAAGGAAAGGCTTTTGTGACATGGAGCTAGTTCAAGTGTTCCACAGGAGAATTCCAGAGAAATGGAACAGCATGTGCAAGACCCTGAGGTAAGAGGCTATTTGGATGGTTGAGGAATTTAAAGAAGGCCAGCAGAGCTGAAATGTAGAGGATAGGCTGGAAGATGTCAGGAGATAAGGGTTCATTGGGGCCTGATGGTTTAGAACATTGGGAATCAGGTTAAGGATTTTGGACTTTATAGTCAGAATATTGGAAAATCCCTGAAGAATTTTAAGGACATTTTAAGATTTTAAGAAGTAGATGATCAGATTTGCATTAAAAAAAATCCTTATGCTGATATGTAGATAATAGAGTGCAATGAGGGTAAATATATATATATATATATATTTATACACACACACACACACACACACACATATATATATATGTAGCAGTTCAAGGGATTTGTCACTTGGACCAAGGCAGTGGCTGTGGGCACAGAGAGAAGGGATGCACGAGAGGCATGCTTTGAAAGTACAACCCCCAGGACTTGGTGATGAGTTCACGGTGTGAGGGGAGGGAGGCTGAGCTGTCAAGAATCATTCTCAGGTTTATGACATGAATACCTGTGTAGATAGTCATGCTATTTCCATGGTCAGGAGACAAGGAAGCAAGAGCAAGTTTGGGACTGGACGTGGACAGAATTCTCTTCTAGACATTTTAAGGTTAAAATGACTCCTAAGAAAAAATGTAAGGTAGGTAGTTTAATACGTGAATCTGGAGTCCAAAAGTGATAACTAGCTACTCTCATTATATTTGGGGGGTATCCTTGGACTGCTTACCTGCATGAATCTTATTCCCTATGAGATTTGGAAAGAGTCAGAACCTTTTCTGTGATTGCATTCTCTAGTGGAAAGGTTTCTTTTAGGTTCTTGGGAAACTTAAAATCCTGTGCAGAGATTGCTGATTCACCCCTAACAGATGCTAAAGATTTCCAAAATGGTAGCTTGCTTTGTAGTCCACATCTGTTACTGATTGGGCAGCCTGGCTTTCCCACTTGGTGTAGGCTATGAACAGTAACTAATACATAGTGTTGGTTTTTATTCATCCCTTAAATACTTAAAAGCAGTATTGACCACTTTGACAACCATCAGAGATCAAGTAACTAAATGATCTTATATTGAAGATGACATGGATAAAGCTTTGAATCAAATTGCTGCTGGCATCTAGGGCAAGGAAGCAAACTCAAGAATCAGTATTCTCTTCATACTTTTTTTGTAGAATAAAATTGTATATTTGTGGCAAAAGACTATTTGCTTTGTTTTGAAGAAGTATGCACTGAGAATAGCCTGAAGAACATGTTCAAACATAAAATTTACCTTGACTGTTGAAAAAAAATGTTCAGTGAATCTTCAAATGAGTTTTCTTTGCTAAGGCCTTCCTTAGAGTTCCTACACATGGCCTCCCGTCGGACTCTTCACAGAAGTCTTTTCATTACTGATCCTTCTGGGGTTGATGGTGAGGGTAAAACTTCCATGTTGGTGCCCCCTGAATGGTGAAGCATTCAAGTTCTAAACATTTTCAGGCTATGGGATACTACAGACTTGAATCAGTGGCTCAGTTGCTGGTTTTTGCTAATGGCAGATTTCACTGATGATCTCAGGACCAAGAGTGGACTTGGTAGCATAAGTGCAGAAACCTAGCTCTAAGGCTTTCCTTCCTCTCCTCAAAGTTGGCCTGCTTTCTGAGCTTGCACCCAGAACCTTGAGATAAAGGTGTGTTTATTTATCTTTCAGGGTGCATTTTCTTATGCCCACTAAACTAGGTCATAGACTTCATAGTTTTTCTGGCAAAAATTACCATGAAAACCTTCGTAAGGGATCAGAGTCTGCATCCAGTGTATGTGTGTGTGTGTGTGTGTGTGTGTGTGTGTGTGTTTCTGTAATTTCTACCAAAACTTCAGGCTTCAATGCTGTTATTTCATGCAACATTCCATGAGTTTTAAAATGCAGAAGCTGTTATCTGCTGACTGTCGGACAGAATCCGCCTGACTTGTGCTGCTCTGTTTTAGGAATTCAGACAAGGGTGTGGAGGTAGCCTTCCTTGGCACTCGCACAGGCCTCTCGAGAATCAACCTGTTTGTTGGGGCAGAGCAGCTCACCAATCAGTAAGTAGGGAGCTGGATAATGAAAGGGGCATTCATATCATTCATTGATTCCAGCAGCGGTGGAAACAAAACTCAGACCTGTTGACATTTTCCCTCTCTATTCTCCTTTGGGGACCACAGTGTGTGTGTGTTTGGCTTCCCTGATAGCTCAGTTGGTAAAGAATCCCCCTGCAATGCAGGAGACCCAGGTTTGATTCCTGGGTCAGGAAGATCTCCTGGAGAAGGGACAGGCTCCCCACTCCAGTATTCTTGGGCTTCCCTTGTGGCTCCCCTGGTAAAGAATCCACCTGCAATGCAGGAGACCTGGGTTCCATCCCTGGGTTGGGAAGATCCCCTGGAGAAGGAAAAAGCTACCCACTCCAATATTCTAGCCTGGAGAATTCCATGGACTGTATAGTCCATGGGGTTGCAAAGAGTCAGACACAACTGTGCGACTTTAAATGTAAATATAAAATGTGTGTGTTCACCTGCCCATTGTTGACCTTGCCGCAGCTCTGTTCTTCACACTTGTTGGCATCTGTCCACTGTCCTGGAGTCCTCTCCCGCCCTGGTGGGTCACTTAAGGACTCTGGAGATAGTGTGGCTCCTGCGGGAGCAGCCAGAGGAAGGACTCACTCTACTCCTGACAGATGACCAGAGGGCTTTCAGCCGTCTTGCAGCTCTGCTGAGGAATTTCTGCTTGTCTGAGAAGCAGTGTTTCAATTCTGGTGTGTATTTGTGTATGCCTTAGTAAACCCTTGTGCCTCAGCTCAGAGTCCGAGGGCCTATAGAGCCCCACAGCCAGGACTGGGCATTCTGGTGGCCCTCGGTTTGACGGTGTTTCCATGTTCTAAAGAGACCAGATGGACAGTGGGCTGAGTGTCACCAACTTCAGTACCCAGATGCCATTTAAACCAACACTGTTCAACCCCTGTATCTTCAGAGTCCCAGGGTCTTAACTCTTTAAATTGGTGTTTGGCCATAGCTGGGCCTGGGAAGTCCTTCCTGAACCTATTAATAAATTTTCTTAGTTTCTTTTCTCTGAAGTAAGAGACATTATTAGGCCAGGGATGAGTGGAGTCTAAGGTACAGAGTTTGCCAAGTGTGTGTTTGTGATTCCAGACCTCACAAATCCCGACCTGCAGGGATGGTGGGAATAGTGGAGGCACTGGGTGTGCAGTGATTTGAGAGGGGTTGGCCTGTCAGGAGCACTGTGTACCATTAAGTCCAGTTTAGCTGTGCTCTTGTGTCTGTTAGATGAGTCCTGGACACCAACCATGTCATCTTATAAAACCACATCTGTAAGTGACAGATCCATAGATTTGTGGTTGTTCTGTGGACTGGCTTTTAATTCCCACGTGAAGGCTCTTTCTCAACTCCTCAAGTTTGTCATTTATGAAGCTGACTGTAGTCATGACTTGATTCTTTTCAAGTCCTCTCTACACCTGTGCGTGCATGCATGCTTGCATGCTCAGATGCTAAGTTGTGTCTCACTCTGTGACACCATGGACTGCACCCCACCAGGCTCCTCTGTCCCTGGAATTTCCCAAGCAAGAATATTGGCGTGGGTTGCCATTTCCTTCTTCAGGGGATCTTCCCAAGCCAGGGATTAAAACCACATCTCCTGCATTGCAGGCAGATTCTTTACCACTGAGTCCCCAGCAAAGCCCCTGTATCCTGAGACAAATACTTTACCAGAAGGCAAGTTCCTCGGAAGGACTAGAAGTGTCAGCATACACATCCTCTTCTCATTTTAGGGTCCAGAGAGGTGAAGGAAGACACAGAAGTAGACTTTCTAATCCTCAGAAGGAAAACCTGTTATGTGTTTTGAGACGCAAATAAACAGACAAACAAGAAAGCACTAACAACAATACACCCTAACACCTTGCTAATCTCATATTTAGGTGATTGTGATGGATTTGAAAGATGGCAGGACCACACTCAAGACTGTTGGCTCACCTGCAGTCTGGCTCACCTCACTCACTGCATCTGAAAAATGGGTTAATGATCATTGGATATCTGGATGGATGAAATGATAACCCTTCTGTCTTCAGGAAACACCTATCATTGATTCATATAGAGGAACCTTGGCTTGCATTGTCTTAGGATCTTGTATCTGCCTACCCCCTCCAATCAAATGGTATTTGTTGATATCCCCCCTATTTGGATACACTATTAGCCAGGGCTGGAAAGAGTTTAAAATTTCTATGTTTTTGTTAAAGAGAGTTCAAAGTATTGGGAATAAGTTTGGATAATATAAAATCCCCATGCTAGAGCTAACCTATAGTGTCATTAGGCTCCTACACTGAGGTTCTAGCTCCTATCCCCACCACATGATTTTGGAAGTGTATCTAGTATAGTTCGTGGCCCCTATAACCTGCTGTCATCCCAAATATTAGCCATATATTCTGTGCTTTCAGTGTGGCCTTTTGGATCACACGTACTAGTACACGTGTAGTAACCAGTGATGTCAGCCTCCACGGTATGGGTACTGTTCTCCCCTTAAGTCCTAAGTCAGTTCTGAGTCTAAGAGATGACCATTTCACAACTTTCTTTTAAACCACAGACAATGAAAGAGACTCTTGAGCTTTAAGATTGCCCACATATTTGTGTGAGCCACTTTCAGCTTACATAGTTCCTTTCACACATGGTGTTATATGATTCCGATTTTATTATTCCCACTTTATAGATGAATAAATGGGGCTAAGAGACTCAGTAACTAACCCAAGTAACTCGCTCAAGATCATTCAGCTCCGCCTAAAACTTAGACCTGTCTCACCCAACACCACAGCAGCCCCTCATATCCAGAAGTAGGTGCAGTCCTGTTGGCTGGAGAATAGAGAGGGAAGGGCTTCCCTTGTGGCTCAGGTGGTTAAGAATCTGCCTGCCATGCAGGAGACCCAGGTTTGATCCCTGGGTTGGGAAGATCCCCCGGAGAAGGGAACGGCAACCCACTCCAGTATTCTGGCCTGGGAAATCCCATGAACAGACAAGCCTCGCAGGCTACAGTTCATGGGGTCGCAAAGAGTTGGACTCGACCAAGCAACTAACACACAATACAGAGGGAGGGAAGGAAAGAAGCAGCAAAGATTCTCACATGAACCCAGTTTACATTCTTTACACTTTTTGTAAGAAGAGTGAGACCTATTTAAGATGTTGATCCTCTCAAAGATATGTATCTATGTGTCTGAATTTTAAGGCAAGAGAAAGCTTTCTGACCGTTTGGTCTTCTGATAGGATTTCTGGAGACTTTATTTGCTTGCTTCAGATGCTAAAACTATTCGTTCACCAGGTATACTAGGAAAAATCATTTCACCCACTGGGAGTCTGACTGCAGGGTTATACAAGATATTTCTGAGTAATCTGGGGTGCATGCTACACAGGTCCTCTCTGTAGAGAGAAAAATCAGGTCAGCGTTCTAAAAGCAACACTGGTTTTACCCAGCAGAAGTTGCTGGGATGTACTTGTGTCTGGCTTTTCCTCGTTCAGTGGCGCCATGCTCTTATTCCGTTCTATTTCAAGGGACTTCCTGAAAGCAGGAGACAAGGAGAACATCTTTAATGCAGACCATTTCCCTCTCTGGTACCGAAGAGCTGCCGAGCAGATCCCAGGGAGCTTCGTCTATTCGATCCCATTCAGCACAGGTGGGTGCCCTTGTTGGAGGCTGGCTCTGTCCCTTGGTCCTGCTGGCCTGAGCGTTGCATGCAGAGGGTGAGGGAGCATCCTGGAGGCAGCCAGGAGAGCCAGTGCTGAATATTGGTCTCGCCTGAACCAGTGACCAGCTCCGTAAGTGTTGTTACCCCAAGTGCAAGGACATTTTTACTTGACCAGACTCTGCAAAACACATGCCAGGAAGCAGGACTGTTATTTTGTACCATATAGAATTTGCGTACAAACGTCTCAGTAGATTTTTTTTTTTTTTAATCTAAAATGTGGTCATGGTCCTACTTAGAGAAAATTCACACAGTCATAACATCTTTTGCCAGAATCTTCAGCAAGTCACATCACTCTGGAGGCCCACAATTCCTCATCAGAGCTGATTTAAATCAACACACAAAAGTAATGACTAAGATTTTGTGTAGCTTTTTGCTCTCCTGACAGGGAGCTGCAGTGACCAATGAGAGGCATGTAGCCAATGATCCTTCTAGTCTTTAGGTTTTACGATATTATAAAAAAAATGCCAAGGTCTCCTCCCTCCAAAGGAGAACTGAACATTACGTTATTTCAACCAGTTTTAGAAGCAAGAGAAACTGGAAAGGCTTTTCAGTCGCCCTTGGCTTTTTCTTATCTCGTTGTTCAGTCGTTCAGTCATGTCCAACTCTTTGCGACCCCATGGACTGCAGCACGCAAGGCTTCCCTGTCCTTCGCCATCTCTCAGAGCTTGCTCAAACTCATGTCCATGAGTTGGTGATGCCATCCTACCATCTCTGTTTCATGTGTCTGATAGTTTTAGTGCTCATTCTGTATAAGGCTCTGTATTGCGCATTGTAAAATCTTCAGAGATGAATAAGACATAGTACTAGAAACTTGGATTGCTCTGGACACTTCAGTATATGCTTATGTTTTATATTAGAGGCTTCTGTATTAATCTCTTACAAGCATTCCCAAGTCACCCCTAATGGGGACTCTCTAATGCTTTAGTGTCAGAGCTCCTTCCTGAGTTTTGGCACTTGCTTATTTCCCTAAATGAAACATCTTTAAAAATAAAGTTTTCAAAAATTTTGGAAGACATGTTGATAAGAGTTGTCTAATAATTAGTTGAATGAACTTATTAGGAATAGGGTCCCTCATTAATGAAGATATTCAAAAAAAGACCAAATGTTATTGTAGAAATTCCCTCCCTAGGTGGGATTTTAGAGGAGATTATCAGTTAGATTCCTTTAAGAAGCAAGATTCTTGGAGTCTATCTATACTCCTTTGCTGACAGGCCTGTGTTAACTCACACCCATGCACATGTATGTGTTCTCAAATATAAATTTCTAGGTACTAAGAATTTCTTTATGTTTGTCTGTATCACATTTTATTGCTGAAAATATCAACTAAGAAACAGTGGACTTTCTAATTCTGCAAACCTATCAGTAATAATGTCTTCTTTTATCATACACTTCCATGATACTTTCTTTTTTGTAGTCTTCTGAAGTAAAAAACTAAAACTTAGCTTTCTAGATCTGGACTGGAGCCATTAAATTATCCAGAAGGGGGTTTTCCCAAACCTGGACAGGGAGGAGGAGCTGCGGGTAATGAGAAGGTCCCCCAGAAGTGTCGCATGTGTGTGTGTCTGTGTGTGTGCG